CGCACCATTATCGATGAACTTACATTGTGTCTATTTACATTTTTATCCTCAAATTGCTTTTAGTATTTAATTTTTTTTATCAAATTAAATGAATTAATAGAAAAATAACGAATCTATTAAACAAACATTGACTTTTTTGTCTTGTTTCACAATAAACAAAAAGATAAAATAGTTTATATTAATAAATTTGTTTATTTTTTTACCAGTGAGGTCGGTATGACAGGAAAACAAAAACTCTAGAAGATGAAAACTTTATAGACTAGAATAACTTTTTTTAAAACTTTGAGGGCTAGAAAATAATATTCGATTGTTCCAATTAATTAGATAAATACGTTTGCAGTCCTTTGATTTTAACATCCGAAGTCAACATATGGAATTAAATGATGTTAGTAGTGCAATTTCATCGGCGATTGTGTTAATTTGTCAAAAGAAAACCAGTAAATAAAACATTAAATAAATAAAAATAGAATTTTAAGCACCTAAACCGTAATTTACATATTCTGTTAATTGAACCACACTTAAATCGTGTTCGTATTTATCTATTATTCTATTATTGTGTTTTTAAGTGTGCTAATTCCATTACATTATTTACGGGTTAGGATAAATAATTCGATAATCTGATTGGAGTCTTACTTTATATATATTCAAAATAATTAAAAGTAAGATATAAACCGATTTTTTTTTTTAATTGGATCAATCCAAAAATTCAAAAAGGAATATTGACAGAAATTACTAATAAAGCCGATCCCATATAGGATGGTAATTTAACCCCAAAACGCAATGAATATTCACCTGACTCGATTTGATAAAATTAGATTTAGGTTTAGTCGGATTTGAGTGGAGTGTGAAAAATTTTGATCAAATACAACATGAGGATAAAAATGTAATTTTTTTAAAAATTATTATTATTTTAATTAAAATTTTATTTTATACCGGTTCGGACTTATACTCTGAAAATTTTGAGTGATATCGAAATAAGAATAAGATATATTTTTCGAGTTAATCAGATTATATTTTGGTGGAATATACATATTTTCGATCGGATTGATCGAACACTCGTCCTTAACCCAACCTGTTGTTATCCCTAATCCCAGAACACCTCTCGATGATAACCGTCCACGTGTTCTTTCAGATCAAACGGCCATCCCCCATCTCTCCGTGTGTCCCGACATGAAGACTTGAACGCATTTCACCACGATAAGATCAATCCATGCTGTGTGACCCAGTAAGGTCAATAAGTGGTCAAAATTAAAGCAACGTGGCAGCCATAGGGTGGTGTTGATACAGAGCCTTATACGTGGGCCCACCGGCTCCTTTCGATGTGTCCAGATACCATGGGAGAGTGATGTGGCGAAGTGGGCCACACACAGATGGAGAATTGATTGATTGAATGATCTATTTATTTTGAGAATTCCTTAAATGGGTTTCTCTAGTTTCGGCTTTTCATCAGCTGTTAGGTCAATTTCAGTGGGGCCCAATGGACACGTGCGGACCATGTCTCCTTCAATTAAATCCATAGTCTCTCAGGGTGCAGTGCCAATGGGCTTTGGAGCCCACTGAGAGAGATGGTTACGGGAACTCCTTTTTTTCGACCGAAGACATTTTATAATTAGGAGGTGTCCTACGGAAGTTGTTCTTAATCTGATATTGGGGACAACTTACTATCTTACCTTCCTCTTACCTCATTACATATGAAAATAAGGGTCAGTTAATTTTAGCTCAATAAAGATAATGAGTTTTTTATTTAGTCTATTAGGGCAAATTAAAATTTATTTTGGAATCTACCATATTTTCTATAGTGTTATTGGAATTTGTCACGCCGAGAATATGATTTCAATAAAAATATTTTTATTAAAATTTATCACATCGAAGTAAAAAATTAAAATTAATTTTTTATTAGAACTCGTCACGCCAAAATAATAAGTTCCATGTCACTGTAAAAAATACTATAAATCCCAAAATAAATTTTGACTTGCACTAAATAAAAAACATATATACCTTAATGGGCCAATTTTATCCCTTTTTCCCTTCTTTAAAGTAGTTGGAATCATCCACTGTCAACTTGAATTGATATTTTATATTCGTTTTATTATCAATATATTTATATTGAGTGAACTTAATAGTTAAAGAGAGTATTATTTTCTCTTAAAGTTATGAATTCGAAAAATTACTTTTATAATGTGTGTATACGTTGTTAATTATTTAAAAAGATTATGAACATATACGACCTTTTAATCATCTCATACTATTTTAGAAAAAGAAGTTTATAATTGTCATCCGACATTAGTCTCGAAAATTTAAATCATTTCCTTAAAAATATAATGTATTACCTAGGATGGCAAAGGGTTGGGTTTTTATCAACCGATCCAAAAATATATATCCTCCACTAAAACTTGACTCGATCAAAAATTATATATCCTTCATCTGGTCTAATCCGAAAAATATATATACTCCACTCGACTTCAACATGACCTAAATTTTTAGAGCACAAATCCGACCAGACCTGACCCGATATAAAATAAGAACTTAATTAAAATAATAATAATTTTAAAATGAAATTACATTATTATCCTCAGATAGAGTCGAAATTTTTCACCCTCCACTCGAACCTGACCCGACCTCACCCCTTAAAAATCTGATCTGACTGAATCCAAACCCGATTTTTTTAAAGAATCTGATCCTATCAGATCGGGTCAAAACTCGTCAAATTCGGATTAAATTGTCATCCCTAGTCTTGCTATCATTCAACAAAGTTGATAAGTTACTCGTAACCACTAACCCCATGGATACATGAACATATATCCCTTTAATCTGCCAATAATTTCATTGCTATATCAGTGGATGTGGTAAAATAAGTTCGAACCAAAAAAAACCGACCTAAAAGCTCATGTATGAAAATGTTCAAATTCAGAAGATTCGAACTACCCGATTTTCACCTCTAGTTGATTAGCTTACCAGGATCGATATAGACACATAGATTCATGGATCCATACATCTCGATCGGAAAAGAATCAATAGAAAAAGAAAGAATCGGAAGTGATCAATATATTTCTCGAAACAAACGAAAAGGAAACGAAAGATGAAACATAAATCATGCATCAACTAAGCCCTCTCGGGACTTACTTAAGAATAAGAAAGAGGAATCTCATGTAAATACCATGGAAAAAAGTTTGATCCTATTCATGGGAATTCCGTAAATATTCCATTCCAAAAATAGAAAGTTCGAAACAATTGAGTTTTTTTTGGAGATTATATGCAGTTACTAATTCATGATCTGCTTACCAAGGATGTCTAAAGAAAAACAGCCTAATATAAGACTAAAAAAATATGCAACTAGAAATATTAATTTTATTTTAACATTTCCGGTAGAGCGCTACCTAAAATGTTAATCTTTTTAACGTTTCTGGTTGCAACCGGAAATGTTATGGAGAAAGTAACAACCGGAAACATTAAAAGATTAACATATTAAGTAACAAAATTAACATTTTAAGTAGTGCTCTACCGAAAATGTTAAAAAAATATTAACATTTTTTATTGGGCATTTTCTTAACCTTATATTAAGATGCTGTACAACAAAACTATCCCTTACCAGGCCCATAGATACACGAACATATTGTTTCATTTGTAAGTACAAAGTTGAATGGTTCAGCCCAAGTGGACAATATATATAATGAAGATTGCACCATTTAGATAAGCAAGCTATTTTGCACAAATCATTTAACCAGTACAAAACTATACGGAAGTGAAACCTGCCTCGCATCAGGTAACTGATTATTTTCCGAACATCAAACGTTCGACAACGAAAAGAAGAAGATGCTTAAAACGGCATAAAACTCTGACAATTCTTGTCCAAGCAAAAGATGAGATGAACTGCAAAGGCCAGTTCATTGCAATGAAGATTTGAATGACACATTCTAACTAGGAACTTATTGCCACATGAGATAACTCAGACTCATCGCCATTAATCACATTCTCGATTTGATTCTGTGCTAAGAGATTAGCTCTCTTCATCTGACTAAGAGAAGCTAATACTTCAACAGCATCCATCGGATAACAGGGACATAGTTTCGTGTTTACTTATTCAAATCGGAGATATGCATGTGGAAATATGGAACTAAACTTGCAGGAACATATATATAAATAGTGCGAAAATTAGAGGAATTTCTCGTCCGACTATGATGTTCATTTCTCTACTTGAAGTAATCTATTGCCTTTACTACATTCTTCCTTTCTTCGTCAGGAACTTCAACTATGTCATTCTTATCTACGAAATCAGTTCATTAGAGCCATGTGTAACAGTCTTCACTTTGAACCATATTTGCGACTTAGTAGCAAATAATTTGTTCAAAAAGTGTTAAAAGACTATATCTAAACAACAAACAAGAGTCAGACAGAGGTCAAACATCGTAATTAAATTCACCGATATGGGATTAGGAACCTCTATACTAAATAGTTGGTATGATACAAACTAAAGATTGAACCCAAAACGTTGTTGGAGATTCTGGCAGATTCAACTTAGCTTCTCCAACCTCTAATTAAGACGAACTACAACTCGGCTAGCATTTCATTCGATCTAACAAAGACAGAAGGATTACCATGTCAATAGAAGATTACACATGCCTTATAGACTATGGAGGTTAAAAAAGGCGATAAACTAAACAAGCCAATCCGTTATAGTAATTTATAAGATGTGGAAACAGTAAAATATAAGATAGACTATCTGTAATTCTGGTTCCTCAGCGGCCTTCATGGACAAATAAGACTGAATACGGAACATAGTAATGCATATTCGGATCTACTACGGGTTGAAGAATGGCCTTTTCTCCTGTTTTACGCATTGAAAAGTTAATTTCTTATTCCATGGTCTAAAAATACCAAAAAACAGTACTTACTTTTGAGCCTGTGCTCCTATAATCACAATCTAAGCATCTAAACAAAGCTTACATTTAAGAGAAAAGCAGTCTGATGGATGAATCACACAAATCAAAGCTAAATGATAGATGAAAAGAAAACAAAAACAAAGAGCCTATTTCAATAAGTAATTTAACATTAGTTTGATGATCTCATAGACTTCTTAATGTTCCGGAGGATACCCCACATGAAAGTGGATATAAAGAAGAGAATGATACCAACAATAATGGCATACTTGAGACCGAGGTTCACCAGCAAGTTTACCAGAAGCGCAGCCAACACAACACCGAAGAAATTGGCTGATACACCAGACCAGAAGGGCATATCAAGAATAGAGGCTATGATGGCTCCAGTCCAAGCTCCTGTTCCGGGAAAAGGAACCGCCACGAAAAGCATTAGCCCGAGCCATTGAAATTCTTCCACAGGAGAAGCCTTCTCCTTGGCACTCTTGAAAATCATGTCAAGAAACCTAGATGCAGATTGGTTTTTCCCAGCAAGAAAAGTAGCAAACCTCTTCAGGTATAGTATAATGAAGGGCACAGGAAGCATATTCCTGCGGTCAAATAATAAGGTCTGTAAAATTATCACGAGCTCATTGGTTTCCCAAGATAATAATGTATAAACAAACTATCCATTAAAACAATATGCTATACAATTCTAAGCATGATCATTAAACAAAAATTACTATGCAAGTGAACGTGCTATTAGCTTCAAATTTGTAAAATATGAATCTAAAAATGAGCTAAAAACTTAGAATATTTTCAAATTAAGCAGACCCGAGAATTGATAAGATTGTCAAGAGCATAGGCTTGAGTTGCATCCAGTAACCAACAGGAATAGCTCCACGAAGCTCGAGGATGGGAAGAGTAGCAAGAGCAAACACGACTGCCTCGTCGGGCCAACCCGACCCGCGCAAAGCGCCCGCAACCTTGAGGCCGAAGCCGGAAGCTCGAATGGAGTCGGCGGCGGCGGTGGCGGCATTAGCATCTCCAGACGTGGCGTACCAAATCAGGGACAAAGAAAACCCGACCAAAACCCAGAGGGCGAAATTCAACGGCTTCTCCTCAAAAGAAGGCAAAATCTCATCTTCTCCGCTTGGGTCGGCTGTATCAAATAACCCATTTTCGGAAGCACTTGTCTGGGTCAAAGGAAGAGGAAAACGGTGAAAGTTTCGGAATTTGGAGCTCAAAAGAAGTGGGTTGATAGCAGTGCAGGGAGAGTGCATTTGGGTAGGAAAAGGTTTTGAGATTTGTTTTCTTGAAAGAGGGTGCTGATAGCAATAGTGAAGTGGTGGTCAATGCTGATGCAGCCATTGTGGAAAAAAAATTTGAACAACAAGAACTAGCTTTGGGTATCCATTAGGAAGGAAGGAATTGGGAATCTCGGATTGTTTTTTAAATGGTTGGAATTTCAGAAGCAAGCGGCCATTAATATATCAAGATTTGAACTTGAAAATCAGCGAACAACAAAGTGAAAAACAAATGCGGGGAGGACTAACCAAAGCTCCCCTGATTTAGTAAATCCAAAGTCTAAAACAAAGTTAATGCTAATGCTATCCTAGTGATCAAATGTGAATTTATCTAAAAATAATTATTATTACTTAAGATTTGTTGTACGTTCTCGGCAAAAATAATATTGGGTAAAGTTTACAAATGGTCCCCGGTTATAGTATACAATTTTATTAAATTTATTGACTATTAAAAGTTATAAAATAGTCATTTAACTATCGAGTGTTACTTTGTTGAGTCCATCGACTATTAAAAATTATAAGATGGTTACCCGATTATTCATATGTTCCAAACCCATCCCTTTCCGTTAAAAAATTGACGGTATTCTGAGCCGAACGTTAACTTACTAACTGTGATATGATAAAATATGATCCTAAAATTTCAAACGACTATCATATATCAGTCATCATGTTAACATCTAACCTAAAAGACTGTCAATTTTTAATAGAAAATTACGCGTTTGAAACATAATAAATAGTCGAGTAAAATTTTTGTAACTTTTAATAGTCGAAGAACTTAACAAAATAACATTCTAAAATCAAAGGATTGTTTTGTAATTTTTAATAGTTGAGAGACTCAATAAAATAGTACATGTAATCAAGAGACTGTGTGTACTTTACCCAATAATCTTTTGTACATCAAGATTTTTAAAGAATTTAATTGAAGTTTTGAATAAAAGTATTGAAACATGAAATTTTTAAGGATATCTCTTGAGAAGTCGCGATCGAACTCTAATAGGTTTATATAACTTATTAAAATTAAAATTAATAATTAATTATATCTATTCGATTTATCAACCTCCGAATAATTTTCATAATTTACATTTATCAACATTAAGGGTAATTATAAAATCTCTTAGTCAAGATTGAGAGACAAATCTTGAAACACACTTAACATTCCATCCTATTTTCTTCTTGTGAAGATTGTAAACCTTTGTACTGATCAATCATCGTCTAAACACTGATAACGATTTTTAATAGGTCTATATAATTTATCAAAATTAAAATTAATAGTTAACGATATTTATTAAATTGGTCAACCTATGAATAACCTTCATGATCTATGTTTATCAACACTAATAGTAACTATAAAATCTTATAGTTAAAATTGAAAAAAATATCTACAAACACACTTATCATTCCATCTTCTTCTTTCCTTATGAAGATTGTAAATCTTTATACTAATCAATAATCATCTAAGCATCGACTACGATTATTTACTTAAATCAAAATTAGTGAATTATTTACATTCATCACAATCCCTTTATTTCTATCAGCATGATCTAATTAATTATTTGAATGAATCAATTGTGACTTTCTGAACTGTGCAACCTAATTATAGAAAACTTACTAGCAATGTAGTGACATATGGTGTAATTTAACCACACAAAAATGGTATACCTAGGAATGAGTATGGGATTCGAACACGACGAGTTCCGATCCGACCCTCTAGTCATTTTTTTTAAATCATGTTTGGGTTGGGTTTGGGTTTAGGGTCAAAAGTATCTGACCCGACTTGTCCGGAAAAAAATATAATTTTATCTTATATATTTAGGGATAATTACAATAAGACCCCTCTATATATTATTTTCTTTCAATTAAATTCATATTTTTATTGAATAAAAATAATATTTTTTAATAAATATATTATTTTAGGCCGGGTTGAGTTCAGATTTTAATTCAAAATATCAAGTCGGGTGGACCGAAAATCCGACCCAACCCATGGTCATCCCTAGATATACCCATCAAGGCTTAAGGCACCAAATAGAATTTCATTTGAACCGGAACTAGTAACCCAGACCATTAAAAACCCAGGCCCAGAAATTACAATGGCGCCTAAAACCCTTCTTCACAAAGGTTTATCTTTTTCATCATTTGCAGGAAGCTGCTGTTGTTGGAAAGGGCTCAAAGACCCTTTAAATAAGCACAACAAAATCCACCTCTTCAGAACCCTTAGGCCTTGGGACCAAGAAAACAATATAAGCAACAGAAGAAGATGATGAATGCTGCGGTGTCATTTATAGGAGGAACCAACGGCGACAAGAAAGGCTTGGCCGCCACGGTGACAGCCAACCCAGGAGAGCTTAAGCTCCGAGCTGCACTATCGGACACCAACTTCACTGATGGCTCCGCCGTGAAACCCGACAACATTTTACTCTCTGTTGAGAAGCCCGGTTCTTTCACCGTCGACTTCGACATCCCCAAAAGGGTGCTCAATTCCTTTCTGTTATCACTCTTCAAAATTGCAATCTTTTTTAATATTTGTCAGAAAAATGTTATCTTTTTAAAAATATAATATTTTTTTCTATCCAGGATGTTCGGTTTCAGTTCTTGAACACGTTTAAGGTGGAGGGTAAGCAGCTGAATTGGGTGTACACTCACTCGAAGAATGAAAATCGGACAGTACTGGATGGGACCCTGTTGTTGGATTCAGCCAACAAGATATCTGCCAGCCATGAACTCGGTTCTATGAATTGCAAGTTGAAGTACAGTTATGTGCATAGAGGGTTGGTAACCTTTGAACCCTGCTATGATTTGGCCAACAATTCTTGGGACTTGGCTGTTTCCAGGAGAATTGGTGTTGCTGATCTAATCAAAGCTACCTATGAGACATCGAGTCGGATTTTGGGTGTTGAGTTGTCTAGTAGCTCATTAGTCAATGAGACCGGAAGGCTTAAGGTATTTCGCTGCGCTTTTGTTTCGAATCTTAAGTTTGATTGATCATTTCTTTTTTGTAGCAAGTTGTCTTTGATTGATGAAAGTAGTTAGTTAATGATACTTTGGCTCAATTTGTCTAAGGTGTATGAGAAATCTTTGATGGAAATTGAAGTTGTCGATGTTTTCAAAGTCACTCAACAGTAGCCTAACTTTTCTACCAAGGGCGAGATTCATTAATTGTAATCTGCATTGTTTATAGCATGCATCTATATCAATCTGTCTATGCTTTCCAGTTATGGTCTTTTTTTGTACAAAGGAGGAGTTATAGATGATGGAATTTGAACCAGACCTGCTAAATACAATCTCGTTAGGGTAGCTGCATGAACGTACTGAACTAAGCCATAGGTTCTTCATTCATGGTCTTTGAAATATAACACAACAAACATTCTTAGGTTTATCATAAAACATGTTGTCATGACATAAATTGGACCTCTCAAATTATCATAGCTATTTCCCCGAAGATTTTGTTTGGCTAGATTCAGTGCTGCAACACTTTCTTCTTCTGTTATAGCTTTAGCAGTTAAAGGGGAGGATTGCTCCTTCTGTAAACTGGCGCTTAGGTAGGTTACAGGACATTCTAATCCCAACCATTCATCTGTTATGAAATACTTATTCCGGGGTTACCAGTTACCGGTGAGCGAGGGTTGGCTCAAATAGCCTTCCTCTATTCTCGATAAAAGAGGGATTTGATCTTTAATCATTGAGTATATTAACCAAAGGACTTTTCTTACTAAGTTAGCCGATGCATTCCCCAACTTCTATTTTATCTTTCTGCAGTTTCAAGTTATCTTCTTAAGGTTATCCGTTAAGAGTTTTCCGGTGCTCTGGATAATATTTGAAGCTGTTGATAGCATTTTTAACTTCGCCCCTGTGCACCCTTTTTATTTACGAAATTGCATATGAATCACTCAAGTTCTCTACTTGGATTATTGCTTTGTTTTCAAACTGACAAGGCTCTAAAATTTGTCCATTTAGGTTTCAGCATCTTTCAGTCTGACAGAGGGCTTACAGTCGCCGAAACTAAGCGTAGAGAGCATGTGGAACTTTCCGGTATAGTCTCTCGATAACGAGCTTCATTTTTTTCCAACGTATAAAACCCGGTAGTTATAATATGCTGTTAGACTGTGCCTTGTTCATATGAGATCCCCTTCAGGTAGCATTTATTTACTGTTGGTATTAGTTTAGCTACAAAAAGGAAGAACAATGGCAGACCTAGAATTATTCTCTGTTATTATTCTCGAGCTTTTCTTATATAATAGGACAGTCTGTCTCGGCTTGTTCCTTCTTTTACAGTGCCACTGCGTTGAGAGTTGAGTTCGAGCTGAAACTCTGATTTTTATTTGACTTCCCCATCTTTCTCATTGTATTCATTCGGAGTATGCATTTTCGGATATCTGACTCGATTCGGGAAATTGAATATCTAAAATTTCGGATTGATAAAATAGTGATCCGTATTTGATCCAGATACTCGGTTTTGCCGGATAACAGATTTGCGAGTATACGAACATAATGGTTTAACATGATTTTCAGGTTTGAATTTTACAACTTTCGCACACATTTTCGGAGTGAAAATGTACATATTTGGAACAAGAGGCTCACGAGCTTCTTCTAAACATTTTAAGGGTTTATTTGTTCTAACGTAATTGGTTAACTTTTTAGTCTTTCAATTCAAAAAATAATAAATAAATAAATAAATCGAATATTTATGGAAGTGTTTTTGGTCTAAAATTTCGTTCGAAATGTAAAATTATTCTCAAATAACTTATTTTCAATCAAAAAATTTATTTAAAATACCATTATCGACTCAAACTAAAAAGTTGAAAAAGCTATAGTTTTGCATTTGAAAAAACTTGTTAAAAATATTCGCTTGAGAAACACGAAGGCTACGAGTAATAAAGTGAAGTGGGCTTCTTCTAGATTCAAAACCCTACGGAGATGCACCCCTAGTCCGCTGCAAATTTAACCGAAACGCATGAACAAGACGGAGACAAGATACGGAACTACGAAGGAAAACGTCATCAGCTGGTAGGTCCACGTATATCCATGCGGGTCCCGCCAACCGGCTCGTACTTTTATTTTAAGTTAAATTATAAATTTGATAATTGAACTTTACTTTATCTTCTATTTCATTCAGTGTACTTTAAATCTTTTCAATTTTCTCATTGAATAAGTAAGTTTTTTTTATCATTAAGTTGTTTCCTCACTAATGGTGTTATAAATGAGCTTTTATATAGACTCAAAACAACGTTGTTTTAGTAAAAAAATTATTTTTTTTAAAACGACATCATTTTAACATAGTTAACTATTTAACGTTGGAAACAATATTACAACATTTTATGTTGCACTCATTGAAGCAACGGCGATAAAAATATTTTTTTTTGAAGTCTAAGCTTTTTTTTTTCCCTTTTCATGCAGCGTCACTTTAGGATGGAAGATGGAGTTATACATGTTTATGCAAGTGAAAGTGGTATGCACCATTTGTGTGTACTATATTATTGTGTCAACAATGAATCCAATTTGTTTAAGTAAGTCATTTTCTTGAACTTGACAAGGTTACGTTGAGTCAGTTTTGTGCCAAAATCTTAATATCTCCTAGGAGAATAGAGTTTTTAGTGTGTGTGGGTAAATCAACAGGAGTTCTTTTAGTGTAACACTGTATAACATGGCTGGTCCCTAAAATAATCTATTGGAAACCATGCAAAATTTACATAAACTATATAGTTTTATGCTTGATCCATGTGTTTACAATACTACAGTTATTTGTTTTGATGAACCCTAGAACATTAAACCTGTCTATGAATTTTCAGACACTGTTGAGCTTTTTTATGTTGCGAGCTCAACAACATTTTTCACTGATATGCATCACCTCCTAAAAGTCATGTCGGCTGGAAATGTTCGCTCAGCTTGCCATCACCGGCTAAGGTTTCTTGAAGAGGTAGTGTTTTTTACCTATAAATATATTTTTCCTATTTGGGTTGTTTATGCAACTAACAACTGAATGCTGCACAGAAGTTCCGCCTTCATCTGTTAGTAAACGCAGATAGGGAGTTTTTGGCTCAGAAGAGTGCATCACACAGGGATTTCTACAATATCCGGAAGGTCGATGCACATGTGCATCATTCTGCTTGCATGAACCAGAAACATCTGCTTAGCTTCATCAAATCAAAACTAAAAAAAGAACCTGATGAGGCTGTTTTGAATTCCTTTTCATTTTTTAATTATAGCATCCCATGATTTGTTTGAAAGCATATAAAAATATGGATCATAATCAACACAATCCTAAATGAACTGGTGCAGGTTGTTATATTTAGGGATGGAAAGTATATGACGTTGAAAGAGGTTTTTGAGAGTTTGGACTTGTCTGGGTAGGGATAACTTTGGTTCCATTCTCTTCTATGTTTCATAAATTAGCTTTGCTTTATTTCAACTAATGTTTCATGTGTCCTGTATTTCAGATATGATCTCAATGTTGATTTGTTGGATGTTCATGCTGATAAGAGTACCTTTCATCTATTTGGCAAATTCAATCTTACATACAATTCTTGTGGGCAAAGAAGGCTCAGAGAGATCTTTTTAAAGCAGGACAATCTTATACAAGGTTGGTCAACTACACCATCACAACTCAAGCTTTTAGATTTTCATTATGTTTGCTCAGATAGCTTTCATATTTTTCTTACTGGTAACAGATATAATTTTCTCCATTTGATTTCCCACTTTGTACTTTGATTTCACATGACATCATGGTCATAACTTTATTTTATTGGTAATACATGTTTGGCAGAACTGTTGCGACTTCTTTTTGGTTTTTGTCATAACTCTATTAATATAAATTTGTGCAAGCATTGACAAATTAAGTGGCGCTTATTGTACAGGACGTTTTCTGGCAGAAGTTGCAAAGCAAGTGCTAGCAGACCTTGAAACAAGCAAATATCAGGTTGATGTTTATAGATAAATAAAGCCAGTTAAGTCATAGAACTCTGATTCAACCACTGCTTGTGCACCCTCCATTTCACCTTGTCCGAAATAAAAATATTAATTAAATTCATACCCTAAAAGATATATCTTTACTCTTCCAAACTCCAAAGCTTTTATGAAACCCTTTCTCTAAAATATTTGCATGCTATTTTAAGTTTACGTCATTGGTTTAATCTTGTGTCATCAGTCTTGGCATTAGGTTTAGTTAGTATTTTCAAATTATGATAGATCTGAAACTTTGATATTTTTATGCAATGAGGGTTCACTTTGTAATACCCAATGCAGATGCTGGGCAAAACTCAACCTTAAAGCTTTATTTTATGTCTAAACTATTTTTCTGTAGCCTAAGAATTGTTTTCGTTGTTTCTACTGATTGACCTTAAAGTTTTAAGCACCTTTTCTTGACGGCCATATTCCCACTAAGGGGTAAAATACTAGATTCCCACGAAGTATCCCATTTCTCATAACTAACCCTCTGCTTTTATTGTATCCAAATAACCTTTTATATTCAACAAAAGGTTGACTTCTGTTACAGTCAATGCCACCCAATTTTTTTTATCCACATTGAAGCTGATCTGGTTAAATGGTGTGGTAAAAAAGTACAGAAAATATTTTTTGAAAAATATAACACTTATTTTTTTTCTCGGTTTCTCGCCTCCCAATGCTCACCACTGATACCTTTGCCCGAATCTGTTTTGGCCATCTAGCATTGATCATAACAAAAGTAAACTTTCAATCGGAAACAATTCCTTTAGGTACAGATTAAAGGGCCAGAGCTTGTTTGAGCACAATAAAAGCATATGAGCTTACTTTAGAAAAGTGACAAACTCGGGCTCTTTTAGTATTTTATCCTCCATCAGCTTTATCTAAGTAATACAAGTGTTTATGGCACATACATAAGTTTTTTTTGCCATAGCACCAGGCATTAAAAGGGCCTTTGACCTTTTCAGTCGAGGCACATTCCTGGTGTGTGGGCGCAGAAAGTCTGTCTAGTTGAAGTTCTCTTTAGTTTCTACTTATTCTTTCTTAATTTTTTTTAAAAAAAGGATGACATCTTATATTTGAGCATTCAACACCAGACATGGTATCTTACGGAGATATGCATATGGTTGACAAAAGAAAGAAAATTTGGCATTTTTTCTGCTGTTCAACAGGACCACCTTTTTATAGTTTTTATCTCAATTATATATCTTAAGCTTATAATACATACCATATACATATTAACACACATACATTTAATCATATATGTCGTGCCTCGCTTCATTTAGGCAAAAGTCTGTATGTGTGTGTGTTTGACACCTTTTTCCTTACGCAATAAAAGAATTCTAGGACCTAGAGTTCTCCTTCCCCATCTGACAACACCGAGTAATATATTATATCTTTTCTAGATGGCAGAGTACAGGGTGTCCATATATGGAAGGAAACAAAGTGAATGGAACCAATTGGCAAGTTGGTTATTAACAATGAAATTTATAGTGTCACTACCGTTGGTTAATCCAGGTATAATGCTAATATTATTTCTCTCCGTACTAGTACATTCTCCCACTATCTAGTGTTGCAGTAAGTTTTCCCTTTTACATCTCCCTTTCAAAATGTTTCTTTAAGTCTTACCTACGGCTTTTCCTGGATCCTTTCTTGTTAATGCATCAAATGATCATATCTTGTTGGACATGTTTATTTAAGAATTGTCTCCATGTTTCTTGAATCATCTAAAATTGGAAACACTATTGTCGGCAACTCCTCTAATGAAAAGCATTTCAAAGTATGGGCAATCTAATGAACATTTCGAATATCCAAATTTAGGATAGGATTTGGGGCATCATGTCCATATCAAGCATCATCTTTCTACATGACTCCACATGACTCCTGATTCTTTTCTATCCCCCAGTCCCTCTCTCATATATTTCTTAAGACAAAGTTAACTTTCTTCACTTGGTTTTGATTTATCTTGCAGCTACCACGATTGTATAATGTGTACAAGCAAATGGGAATTGTAAAAATTTTCAGAATATTCTGGACAATGTTTCATTCCACTATTTGAAGTTACAGTTGATCCAAACTCTCATCCTCAATTGCAGTGTTCCTAAAGATGGTGAGTTTTATGTTCAACGAAGAACATAATCTGCAGTAATAAGAGATTTCATTGTTATTTGACAAACAGATAATACAGTTAAAAAAATACATCTTTATTGAAGTGACTTGCATGCTAACATGCTTCTGTTTACAGGTGGTTGGCTTTGATTTAGTTGATGATGAGAGTAAACCAGAGAGACGTCCTACAAAGCACATGCCGACTCCT